GAGCCCCACGTCTGCACGGCCACTGCAGTACAATCTACCTCTGGCTACTGCCTGGCTTAAATGGACAAAATGAGCAGACACTGCGCAGAGCTGTGGGTGGGATGGCTGGTAGTTACTCGTGATTCATGGCCACCGGCTGTTCGTACTGAACGCTGGGCAGTGTACTGAGGCCTTGTGTTGTGAAGTCGTCTCAGCGAGCCATCATGTGGCACCAAATGTGGGGACAGCTCCATGAACCGGGGGCACAAGTGGCTTTGTCATGTTAAGAACTCCAACTCTGGAAATACAGAAGCAGATGCTGTGACCAAGGTGCAGGCCCGGAGAGCACACCTAACAGTCCTGGCGTGTGTGTAGTGAGAGTGGACATAGCAGTGCTAAAGGATAGAACATAGCTAACGGACAGGATTGTCCCTAAAAATTGACTTGGTGGCAGCCACGACCCAGTAGCAGGTGTCCTTACACCTCCATCCCCGTTTGACCCACACAGAGACACACATCACTGCTCAACTTGTGAGGGACTGGCAGGTTGTGTTCATCCTTTGCCAAAGGACACAAATATCCCTTAACCTGCGTAGACACAGCTACGGCCTTATACAAGCATTTACTAGCAAGAGCTAAGAAGACTGCCACTGTCAAAGGTCTTTAGAAGTTACCTGTGCTACCTGTACCACATGACAGTGACGTGGCACCCCCCGCAGAGGACATGCTGCCCAGGCCTGGGCCTAAATATATGGTGTACACTGTACTTTGATCCACTGATTAATGCTCAGGCAGTAGGGCTGGAGGGAAACAAACCTACCTTGGCTGACTGAAGTCCTTGGGGAAGCACTGCCGAATGTAAATACCCACACAGCTGGCATGCCTGCCCCTTAGATCACCTAGGAGCTCCAGATCCTGCCCCAGATGTGTGTCCACATCCAGATGCTATCCTGCCAGCAGAGCTGTTGCACAGAAAGCACTTCTAATTACAATGCAACCACTGAACTCGGGGAGGGGACAGTTCTGTGGGGTGCAAGAGGCTTTTTCCTCCAGCATGAGCCAGCTATTTATTGCATGAGTCCCCTGGCCCTGCTAACTTGATTCCTCTCGAGCCTGCTGGACTCTGGACTCTGAGTGAGCTGAAAATGTCTCTGAGTACTAAGCTGGCCTCTGGCCTGGCATGCTACTTGGATGTGAGTTTCTGACATCCCTCACAGATCCTGTCCTGTGGGTTATGTGCCTTATGCTCTGCTACACCAGTTCGGGTCGCTGCTGTTGTGTGGTCTAACAGAGACGGTAGTGTCTTGCCAGGTGGCGGTACAGGTATACAGGTTCCTCTAAAGCTTCAATTTATAGTCTCCAGCTGTGGTCTTTTCAGTTTTCCCTAAAACGTGTGTTGTTACCAAGACAAAATGTATACACATCCTTGGTATTACACACTTCGTTCACATCTGAAAACCCAAATCAATCCTCACTCTAGGGGAGACACACAGGTCATTAGTTTGGCTCCTGAGACTACTGGTAGAAAAAAAAAATATTTGCATAATTATGGTCTCTTCCTGCACAAGCCTCTACCACTGCTATGGACCCCGTGTACGTGATGAATAAATGCCTTACAGCACGCTGCATACATAATGCTGAAACATCTTGCAGGTTGACAGCACACTGCAGAAGAGGGAAGCATGAGGTTTTACAAATCTGTGCTGAGGGTGAAAGGTGAGGGTTCAGCCTGATGTAACTGCATCTGTAACCACGATGGTCCCTGAGCTATCCTGGTTGATTTTCCTTGGCTTCCCAGCATTCTACATAAATTTGAAAAACCATTAATAGTAGTATATTTTCTGATCAGATCCTGACACCATTAACACTAGGAATGTACCTTAAAAGCTTTAATGTTACACCTTGAGATAAACCAGGTACATTCCAGCTTGGATGAAGTCACATTTGTCTCTTCTACCTTTGAAGACCCTTTCTCTGATGCAAATCACAAGAGTCCACTCACTAGTCTGGCTACTGCTCAGGACTGCAAATTTCACTCTGGAATCCTGGGTGTCTCTGCCTTACTTGAGCCTCACAGCACCTTGTTGCTGGTCTTCATAGACTGTGGCAGGGTTTTTCTGGGACATGAGATCAATAATAAACCCAGACATCTATGGTTAACTGATCATCCAATTGCAAAATAGCAGCTTTTTCAAAAATGGTCCCTGCCAGGCGTGGTGACACACATCTGTAATCCCAGCACTTGGGAGGATGAGGTAGGAGAATCACTGTGAATTTGAGGCCAGTCTGGGCTACAAAGTGAATTCAAGGCCAGCCTGAACTGCACAGTGAAACCCTGTCCCCACACAAGAAAGAAAAAAAAAAAAGGAATGGTACCAGAACGGTGTACAAAAGAATGAACTTGAACCCTTCGCTCAAACTATTTATAAAAATGATCTCAAAGTGGATCAAAGACCTAAAGTACAAGAGCTAAAACTATAAAACCTTAAAGTAAAAAAAATAGAAGTAAATCTTTCTGGACTTGGATTGGGTAAAGGATTTAGATGTAACTCCAAAAGCCAAAGCAATTAAATATAATTTTGTTAAAACTAAAAATTTTCCCATTTCAAAGGACACCACCAAAAGTGGAACAAAGCAAGTCCACAGAATGAGAAAATGCTGCAAATTGTGTATCTGATAAGGAACTGTATCTGTAATCTGTAAAGACCAGCTAGCTCACTGATAAATACACAGACCTGGATGTGGTGGTGTGCACTTGTAGTCTCTGATTTGGGAGACTGAGGTAGGAGTATCGCTTGAGTCCAGGAGTTTAAGGCCAGCCTGGGCAACAGTGCAAGATGTCTCAAAAAAAAAAACAAAACAAAAAACTGATCCAATGAAAATAGTGCAAGGAAAGATAAAGGAGATATTAAGCACATAAAAATATGCTTAACTTAGTCATCAAGGAAAACCATGAGATACCACACCAGTTTGGATGAACAGAATAAAAAAGTCAGATGACAAGTATCGGCAAGAAGGTGAAGCTATTGGAACCTCATATGCTACTGGCAGGACCGTGAAACGGTACACGTGCTTCGGGAAACAATCTGGCAGGTTCTCAAATCAATTAAACAGTTACCAGATGGCTCAGCAACTCCCCGCCTAGCTACATAATCAAGAGAGAATGAAAACATTTTTACACAAAAACTTGTAAAGAAGTATTCTAATAGGATACAATAACCAGAACCAATCCAAATGTCTCTCAACTGGTGAATGGATATACAAATTTGGTGTATCTGTATAATGAAATAGTTACTATTCAGTTATAAAGAATGAAACTGAGCCAGGGATGATGGCACATTCCTGTAGCCTATCTTTTTTTTGGCGGTGTGGGGATCAAACCTAGGCCCCTGTCATGACAGGCAAGAACTCTACCACTAAGCCACATCTCCAGGCCCTGTAGCCTATCTTAAAAAAAAAAAATCTTACATGCTACAACATGAAGGTGCCTTGAAAATGTGCTAAGTGAAAAAACGTCCATTATAAAAGACTACACATGATCCTATTCAGAGGAAATGTCTGCAACAGATTATCTATGAAGAGCAGGTTAGTGGCTGCTTAGGGTTGGAGACACTGGATGACAGCTAAGGGTACCAAGCTTTTCTTGGGGAGCGGGTGACAAAATGTTCTCATTGTGTGATGGCTGCAAATATTTGACTATATTAAGTATCACAGAATTGCCACCGAGTGAACTGTATTACGTCAAGGCTATTTGAAAAGTGTAACTACAGTAGCTGAGAATAGTTGCCAGGCATGGCTTACTGATTTGTATCTATTACTGGAGTAACTGTGAGACATCACATTTCTATCTTACAGAAAAATAAACTGAAGCTCAGAACACCCTGCTTTTTACAAGGAAGACACCACAAAGTTGGTTCTGTCTCTTTTGACAGAGGTATCATAAAGTTGGTTCTCTGATCCCACAATGAACATAAAGACTGGATATGGCCTTTGAAAATCAGGCCCCAGAAAGGGCATCCAGGCTTCCTAAACCGTAACTGCAACTTAGAGATTCTGAGCAGGGACATACGATACTAATTTCTTCTCTTTTTAAAACAGGGTCTGACTACAGTTTAGGCTGGCTTTGAACTACGCAGCCCAGGATAACCTTGAACTCACGGGTTCATGACCTCATGCAAGGAGATCATCTGACAGGCTATCCCGTTCAGGTATTGTTGCTGTCAAGGTCTGGGTGTTGCTCCTTGTTGTGTTGTCCTTATCCAAATTTTATTTGCCTTTTATAGTCATTTCAAATACTTTTTCAACTCAATCTTGGAAGCCATCAGTATCTGTCTAGGCAGAATTACTCAGATTTTTCTCTGCATTTTATTTACCTTACTACTATGATAGTAAGTGCCTTAGTTAATACACGATTATCTAGTAAATTTACTTACACGAGACTGTTAGCTGCTAGAGAACAAAGAATTTCCCTTTGTCTCCTCAGTATTTAGCAGTGTTTGACTGTGACAGGCAAAAGTTTGCGAGATGGGTCAGGTGATCAGAAATATTTTAAAATTGAACCAATGCATTGATACCTGGTTGTTGTAAGGTACTAGAGAGTATATTTCATGTTACCCTAAACTGTTGCAGCACTGTTTTATCATACAAATTCATCAAAAGTATACAGAGTTCATTTAGAACTGACAATTTGCCTATAGCCTACTTTTAAAGAGGGAAAAAATTGAAAACAGGCATCATACATTTATAGGCATCAAACCGCACTGGCTTAAAAAAAAATCTTTAACTTGACAATATACTTCTCTTGTCAATTTTTTTTTATTGTGCTACTTGCGCCAAGGAAACTGTTCACTGAATTAGGCTTAGATCTTTAAAGTATTCATTTAACAAATTCATTTAAATAAGTTTAATATTACAGAAATGACAAGCAGCTTAAATACAAGTTTGATAACTATCATTTAAAAAATTAATAAAATCAAAGTCAGTTCAATTTTCAACAAGGCAATGTAACATTTACCACTAACCTGACTAAAAGGTCGCACTCGCACTGCTACTTTCACACTGTCAGTACTTGGCATAGGCATTTTCATCATTTTCTCGTTATCCATACTCTTATTTTGTAGAAAAATAATGTAGAAACCACACTGCTGTACTTCACACGAAAACATTAAAAGCTTAGCCCACACAGGCAGTTTGTTTCTAGGTGATCAATTATTAACAATCCATTCATTACACACTATCAATTACCTGTCATAAATTATTTTACAGCACTATTTATTGATGAACCTTATAGCCTACATCAAGTATCATTACTTAATTGCACACAGTCATACTGCAGAGAAAAGGGTGTTTTTGTTTCTTCTTGTTCCATACCTACTCACACTCTTCCCACTCTCAATGATTTCTGCCTGAGGTCCTGTGATGATTTGCCAGTTTAAAAAACCTGAATAAGGGATTTTTGTGATTCAGTAGCAAGCTGCTCCACAGAAAGATTATAAAATTTGTTCAGACTTCTCCACTTACCAATATTAGGCACATGCAAAGTGCACTCAATATCCATAAAACAGATTTATCTCAAATTCTTTCATGAGGTTGCTAATAAGCAGTGAACCGGTCAATCTAACCTGGATAATTCGTCTCTGAATTAAGAGACTTTAAAGATAAATAGTTTTAAGCTTGCTGAACAAGAAATGTCAACATTAAAGTTAACCCAATGCATTACTTGGAAAATTACTCATTTGAGGTAGATCACACAAATTTTTTGAAACTACAAAAAGGCAGCAAAATTACATGCCCACACTTTAGTTTCAACATGGTAACAGGCAATAAACAAAAATACAGATTATGATTAGAAATTTTAACCACAGAATCAAAGTGCATAAATTATAAAATAGCAACTTTAAAAAATAACAGTTCAATCATTCTCATTTTAAGATTGGTCTAATATTTTAACTATAGAGAATGAAAATGGGACAAAAGCTACCAGCATATAAAAATTATTAAAACATAAATCCCCTCTCAAAAATCTAATAGACACCAACTACTGTGAAGTATATACTTTATTTAACATTCCAATAATAAGCCATATTTACATATTATATAAATGTCTGAAGTCTTAATATAAAATAGAAAAAATGCCTGGACTAAAAGAATCACTCCATATGGAGTTATTTTACTTACTGAAGACCTCCTGTTTACAAAAATTTACAATAATTTATATAAATTATTTTCTTCCGAATTAAGATGATTTTTTAATCCACACAATTCTGATGACTTTACAAATAGGTGTACATTAAAAGCTTGGGAAACAATTACAGCATTTTCCTACGTAAAATTTGCTTTGGAAAGGAAGATGGTTTCCTCCCCCGCCTTCCAACAGCTTTTTCTGTTACTTCTGCAGTTTTTCTTGGTTTGCGCTTTACTCCATCAACTGGGCTTGCCAAGGGAGAAATCAGCTTAATTTCTACCGGAGGAGGTGACCAAGAACTGTCTTTTTCTGTATTTCTGAAAGAAGATACAATCAAGTAAGAATAAACACATTATGTTGTAAATATAACCGGTTTTTCAACATTGTGAAAGAAACCTTAAGGTGAATTCTTTCATTTTTTAAGAGAAATAATGGTTTCAAGAGAAGTAAAGGTGAAGTATGGCTTTAAAAGTCATGTAAGCTAAAAAAAAAGTCATGTAAGCTAATTAGAGGCACAGTTAAAGTTTCACTTACGAGAATATTTGTTTTCTGATTTAGATACTCAAAAACAATTACTGTGAAATGTTTCCTTAAATGTTGCATATATATTGCCCATGGAGCTACAGAAAAATGGCAATTCTCCAATACCAACAACTGGCAACTATGTCGTTGCAAAACACAAAGTAGTTTTTCAAATATATACGAAACCTATTTATAAGTAAACAGCGTTTTTAGTACTAAATCAGTTTTTAGAGTAAAACACATTAATATGTTCTTTCACTAACTGCAGCCATGGCTAGTCACTGCACTGAAAAAAATCCTGTGTACCAAATGTATCTGAAATGGAGTAACTCCCCATGGATGTAGCTTTATTATCAGTAATGAAATAATGTCATGATTTTAAGGTTTACAATTATTAAAATTTATCTTTACTAACGAAAAGGTGAACTATCCCACTTCCCTCCCCTACTCACATCCTGCAGGTACTAAACTACCTCCAGTTCCCCAACCTTCTCAAAAAAGCACGAATGGGCTTTCATGCTGCACAGACATCCACCTACAGCATCAAAATTTAACAATGTCACAGCAAGTGCTATAAGTGACCTCAAAAACCACCCTTTCTGATGAGCTTAATTTCTCTGTTTAAATACTACTTGTCTTATTCTAATTTGCAAAAACAAAACTGTTAAGAGGGTACAGAAGGTTAAACTTACTTGTTTGCCTGTTTTGTTTTGGCAGTCCTAACTCTCTTCACTTCTTGCTTCCCCACAGTTTCTACTGGTTTAGCAGCATCTTCCTATGGGTTAACATTTTTAACAGGTAAATCGTTAAGTAAACATTTGAAAGTGGAATTAAAAAGTTTTATTTCAAGTCATGGAGTATAGTCAAACACGTCTAATAAAGTACACTAACAATTCTTAGTCGAAACCTTACTCAACTAGGTTTGCTCTTTATTGCTTATGCTAACAATTCAGCTGTTCTTCATGTCTTTTCAGGTGCCACTGCCATGCTTCTGTGTCTCTGCATCTGGTGTTTTCTAAGTCAGAAACACCTGTCTTCTCCACTTTCTGTCTACAGAGGCCATCTAGGCCGACAAGATTTTTATTACGTAGAGAAGTAATTATCTGTGATTTTGTTTCTTCAATTCAACTGTATTTGCATTAACTGCTGCATTATTTTTGTGTTAAACCTTTGCACAGTAACTGATTCATGGCAGGTAATTCAATAAATGCTTACAAATTAGCATTCATAAACCTAAGGGACCCAATCCATGGAGAATTTTCATTTTAGGGTTTTGTACAGCTAGGTCACTGAATTTACTCTGATTCAGTGTCTCTCCAAGGGAACTTTTCAAGTGACAAAACAGGACTTCAAGGATGCACATTTTAAATAAACAGATTAATTCAGGCAGGCACTAGAATTTAAAAACCTTTTTCCTAATAGGTAACTTAAACTGTGGCTGCCAGTAAGTAATATATAGCAGTAACATACTACACACCCTACTGAAGGCAGGATCTCTAAAGGCAGGCGTAGACAAGATAGTTCTGGGCTTTTGGTATAAACGATATCTTCAGAGAATTTTTTATTTAGAAAACATTTATTTGAAAATATAAAAATATTTAAGCAACACACACAAGTATTTCTTCCTTACCAGTTCATCTATAAGTCTGGATGTCCTGGATATGTTCTTTCGCTTGGTCCTCAAAGTAGGTGGTGAGAAGACAAACTGAGAAGATAAATCTGAAACTAGTTCTTTCAGCTGTGTAGGAGTCTCTATTCTTTCAGCTAAAGAAAAGGTAGGGGGAAAAAACCAACACTGTATCTATACATATAAATGTAAATCTATATTTACATGCTTGTATACACGTGTATGTCAACAAAAGCTTAGTGAAAATGATGCACATTAAAAAGATCCAAATATTCCCAAACCTAGAAACCACAAGTATGTTAATTACTCATGTTAGGAGAAAGAATGGTGTGTTTGAATCCTAGTATCATTGTTCTTTAAGATACTGCTCCTCAGGGCTGGGGATTTAGCTCAGCGGCACAGTGCCTGCCTGGCAAGCACAATGTCATGAGTTTGAATCCTGATACCAAAAAAAAAAGAAGATACTGCTCCTCAAATGTTTGAGGAAAGTACTGATTAGAAATATGACCCAAGCTAGTCTGTGTCACAATCCTCAAACAAGATTTTCAATTACACAGTACTTTGATTTGCAAGCATAATTTCATTTACACACAAAAGACTTAAAGACTCTTTTCAAACTTGTTCCAGTCAAGAGGAACAACAAAAAAGTTCATATCGTAAAAGGAAAAAGCGGAGAAAGTAATTCTGCCTCAGTTTCTACAAAACAGGAGTAATGGCAACACCTATCTCAAAGGTATTCTGAGGATGAAGCCATCTATGGTGGCACATGCGTAGAATCCCAGCTGAGGCAGGTGGAGCTCTCAAATTCAAGGCTAGCCTGGCATACATTGCGAGTTCAGGACAAGTCTAACCACATAGCAAGACTTTGTCTCAAAAACAAAACCACTCCTGCAACAGAACAACATCATCATCGTAAAAGGCAGCTGAGACTAAAAGAGCAGAGCATCGCGTGGCACACAGCATATGCCTTACAAGCAGATTTTTGCATGTTTTATTATTTTTAAAAAATACAAACCCTTGACAGAAACTCTCAAATTATATTTCAGTGTTATTTATTTAACCTACTGGGACAGAATTCTATCAGATGTCAGATTCTGCATTTAAGGTATATGGTTATTAGCAACAGAAAAAACAGGGGTCACACCAAGAATAAAGCTTGTAGGCAGAAGCTGAAACACCTAGCACCATTGATGGTAACTCCCCCCTTCTGGTGTTAAAAATACAAATTCCTATACTCCTTTTATGGAAATGACTTTTGTATTTCAAGTTGTGATCCCAAGTAGCTGGGAATACAAGCATGTACTTCCATAATCAGCAAAAATGATACATTCTGTAATTCTTTTTCCAACTATAACAATCAAACTACGTCTTGTGTACCTAATCATTATTACAGAGATATTTTAGGCATGTATCAGGTATACTACTCATATCTTTTTCCATTCTCACCTTTTTAAGACATTAAAGTACCTTCCCAAAGGAACTGTCTTCCCCCATGAAATGTTAACACCAATATACCATACATCTGTTTGTGTACTCCATGTATGTAACTGTGCTTTACACACAAAAACAGTAAGATACTTTTACTATTTTGAGAGTGGTATCCCCTTTATTGAGGTGAACTATACCAACCAATGTAATCACGGGCTTTTTTATCAGTGACAATGAGTGAGCTTGGGTATGCAAACATACTAATTTATGGGCAATAATGAATACAGATTTTATTAATTTCTATACCATAACCAGTTTAAAAAAACTACCAGTGGTTCCTCTCAAAACAATTTGGGGTGTAGCTATTACCAGAGACATAAACCAAAGCCAGTAGATTAAAAACATTACATTTAAAGAGAAACCAA